AGTGGAGGCTTGTATTTGTACCAAGTCGGTCCTAATTAGTTCGACGTACAAAACGTTAGGAATTTGATATAATAAGTATTACGCAGAGTAATCTTGTTGTGGTCGCTGACTACTTTCGTATTCGACTAACTGTCGTCCGACATCGACTAGTATTTAGTCACCCCCCCCCCCACGAGGGCATCATGTGGCACAAGGCCGGTTTAACGTGGGATCTCCGAGCCTATGGGCTCGGCCAAAAATATACCCTTTGAACCCGTATAAACGGGTTCAGGGTCGGTTTACCTCCTCGAAAGAGACTCCGCCCTTCGGCGTAGCCTCGTTCGGGTTCCTCCCTGCCCGAAGGCAGAGAGTTAAACTGTTCAGCCGGTCGTCCGACATCGACTGACTCTCGGTTCTCTTACTACTACTACTTATATTAGGTGAGCGAGTCTAACTATAGAATAGGTGTGTTTCACCATAACACAAAGTATATTCAGAGTAGGTTCGTAACACTGAAACAATTAAGAAGTCATTAGGTTTATTATAAAATCTAAATGAGCTTAAATTGAAGGGAGTGGGCAACGCAATGCCATGAAGATATATAACGTCTGCCCTTGGTTACGTGGACGGAATCGCGAAGGGCTACGATACCCTTGTAGCGGACTGCGGGTTTACGTGTTGTTAAATTAGGAACACATGCGTTTATTCCTGTTAGAAAGTCCATTACAAGAACATGGCAGACTCAGAGATTAAATCCACCACATTTCTGCGAGAGATCAAATTTTGTAAATGTGTCCGTTGAAATGCAAAGTAAAAAGAGAACGAGGCAATAAATCGTCCAGTATTTGTAGCGTAGGGAGAGCGTGCCCTAGTGAACAAGTTGGACAATTAAGGAGTTAACTCCGACACCCTAAAAAGCCACGTGGCATGTCTTCTACGACGTCCGCACGATATTTTGTCGGTATCTAACTGAATCATGATGAAATATATTATTAAACATTTTAATGGACCCGACAGTTTTATTACATTTTTTATTTTACGATTCAGAGCAGTTTTTCGGTAAATGGTGTTTGTGCTTGACAAAAACAAATCGATGATTAACTAATATATATATATATATATATATATATATATATATATATATATATATATATATATATATATACGAAGACCCTCGAATTTTAATTTCTCGAAATTTCATAAAATTAAGTGTGGGGGTAACAGACGTAAAAAAAAAATTTACGAAGATTTTCTAAAAAAAAAAAAAAGAAAAATTCAGAAATAATTTAATTAATTTGTAAATAAGTCCTATAAATTTCATTAAAATCCAACTATTATTTGATTTTTCCAATATTTTCCCAAACAATGTTCTAGAAATGATTCTAAAAATTCATAAAATAATCAAAAATACTTTGGTCTTTCCTCTTAATAATAACAAACATTTTGACGATAAAACTTTGTTTTAACAAGTTTTGGGCCTTTTTTCATCATGGCATTCTCTATTTTGAAAATTTTGGAGACACCTAACGGCTATACTTTCGAACAATCCAGATAATTTACACATAATATTTGTAGACGTTGTTAATTCGCTACCTTGAATTTTCACCTTTCATCCGGACTGAATCATGGCGTTCTCTATTTTGAGAAATTTTTTCATCATGGCATTCTCTATTTTGAGAAATTTGGAGACACCTAACGGCTATAATTTCGAACAATTCAGATAATTTACACATAATATTTGTAGACGTTGTTAATTCGCTACCTTGAATTTTCACCTTTCATCCGGACTGAATCATGTCAATACCTAAAGCAATTCTTTCAAAACAAATTTTGTTGAGATGAGTACATTAATGTTATATATATATATATATATATATATATATATATATATATATATATATATATATATAGTCAAGTTCAATTCCAGTTGAGTTTGTTACATTCACTTATGCACAAATACCCTTGGAAAAGATAAGATCACAGCTATATATATATATATAATACAATTTAAAAGGAACCAGTCACGAAAGTTATCGCAAAAGCACAATTATGACAAAAAACACTGAGTTATGTATGCATCCTGACTGATTAAAAGCACTCTGTTCAACAACACCTGTAGGCGAGTAAATAGTAGAGTAGGCAGGCAATCAGACATAGACGCCACTAGTGGCCTCGGTCAACCGACCCGACGCACACATCAACTGCAGTCCCTACCGATTTTCCCCATCCTCCAAGTTGCTTCTCTCGCCCACAAAGAGAATTCTCACCTTAATCTTCTATATCGGTGATGCATCGAATTTTATCTTAACAATTTTTATCTTTTTTTTTCTTTCCGATTCATCGCTTTTTTTGTTTTCGCCTCTTCTCGTGCTACCTTACGTGGTTTATCGCATATAATCTTTATCTTTGTGAATGGCATAGAAAATCTTTTGTCGCATTCAGGACTGTTGTAGAGGACCGTGATGTGTATTTCTCTAGTGAGTCAGAGTCGGGGCATGTCCTGTAAAAAACGTCGGTAGTGGTCTGCGTTTGCTATTAAAATTTGTCTTTTTTCCAATGCTCCACGTGGAATTGGCTTTGTCGTCCCGTCAACCTGTTTGCTGGCCTGGTCGTAGTTTTGTTTGAAAAACGAGGTTGTTTGTTTGGTATGCATGGATAAAATTGGCGCGCAAGATTTAATAGAAGCAGCGTTGTGGTGACTTTGAGCTGAATTTCTACCGAGTGTCGAATGTATGTTTGAGAGAATTTGCTGGTATTATCGATTGAATATCGTTCTTGAAAATTCTTAGTTGCGTTGTTGCAAAAATAAAGGACAGTGAGTCGCCTTTTGTGGTTGAAAATAAAGGACAGTGAGTCGCCTTTACTGTCCACGATCGATGCAAAAAAACTTGGTTCCCGCGAATTGCTGGAAAATCACTTACAAGATTATTAATAAATGCAATTTTTTCAAAATAAAATTTTATGATGGAGACTTATTAAAATCTAAAGACACACTGTAATAGTAAAAGTTGACTTCCAAAAGCAAAGCAAAGTACTAAGAAACGGAAATTTCATTAGAAAAAATGAAAAGAGTACCGAACTGCTGTACAATATCGGTTCTCCTATATAGCAGTGAATGCTGTGTAATTTCCTCACAAATGAAGAGAAGACTTGAGGCAACAGGGATGTAGTTCTACACAAGTATGTTGAGAATACCATGGACAGAGCATATCATTAATAAGTAAGGTAAGTTTAAGGAAAATGGAAACAAAAAGAACACTTATATTTAATATCATAAAGAGATTGTTGAAATTCCTGGGATGCATAATGAGGAAAGAGGGCCTGGAGAATTTGACACTCACATGACATATTGAAGGCAAGAGGGGATCAAGGCAGCAGTGAGTAACCTACCTAATGAGCATGTGTAAATGAATTCCAGAACAAGATAGTAAGGGAGGAAATACTCCTTAGAGTTACAAAGGATAGGAAGTTGTGGAGAGCCATGATCGTCAACGTCTTGAACTGGACACAGAGATAAAAAGAGAAGAATTGTATACAAAAACATTACACATGTTATTTTTTGTTGGGTTTACAATATTTCCTGCTGATGAAAAGAAGCACTCGCAGAACAAGAGATCCTTTTCATGCACATGCACCTAATACATGAGCCAAGAGCCACTCAAGGTAGAGGGGTACTGAATGTTTTTTATGGACATAAGAATTGTAGATTCTGAGAATACTTAGTGTTTTAAATAGGAACTAAGGAAATAGAAGCATCGTCTCATCCATTGTTGAGACATGGAAATACCGTGTCGTCTTTATTATGTGTAAATAAAAAGTAGGTGTATCACTTCTGCCGGCAGAGAAGTGACCAGACTAAACTGTGTTGTCGTTATTATTATCGACCCCCTTACCAAGCTGTAACACGTAGCATAGATAATGGCTGACCTTAGAATTGAAGAGGTTAAAATTGTAGTGATCATGGAATCATTCTCTTAGGAGTCTGTTCCACAAAGCAGTGGCTATTGGGAAAAAGATTGCCTGAGTAGAACTTCCTTCTTACCAACAACGTGATGAAAACCGATTGAATACAATGCGAATGATTTGATTTTGTGTTGATAGTATAGCAGGTCCTAGCTGTGAAGGTCTGAACTGGTGGAACTAAGGAGTGTTGCATGTCTGGACATGGAAATATAAGCGATGAGTTGCAGCTTCGACTCAATTCCCCAATTCATGTTTCCTTATTGTCATGGTTTCTGTGCATGTCTCCAACCTGTTGTATTAATATGCATTGAATATTACTGCCATATCTGGTCTGATCCTCCTGCTATATATTTAGAGATTCTTGATAAAATCCAAAGAAGAATCTTCAATGCTATCAATCCTGATCTGGTATCTCAGCTTCAGTCACTTTCCCACCGCCATAATGTAGATTCCTTGTGCACTTTCTATAAATACTTTCATAGTGATTGTTCTGATGAACTTTCCTCTATGGTACCTAGATTTTATGAATTTAAGTGCAGTACTAGATTGGCGACAAGGCTTCATCATTTCACAGTTGAAATAGCTAGATTTAACTGTAAATTCTATACTAACAGTTTCTTCTCTTGCTTTTCTCACTTGTTGAAATCTCTTTCGCCTTCTTGTTTTCCAGCCAAGTTTGGTCTTCAAAACATTAAATGCAATTTCAATCGTTATCTTCTGTCTTCTTAATTTTTGTTCTTTTATTGTTTTCTTTCCTTAATAATATTTTCTTTTCATTCTCTCTCACTCAGTAATCCCTTGAGTCTTAGTGGTATTATTGCCTTGCTTGGGGTGAAATGATTAAAAAAAACGATGCTTTGTACAGTTGATATACCAACCTGATTATTGTTCATCCTTTGTTAACTCTCATTTCTCATCCTTATTTCAGTTCTTGTTTATTTGCATACTCACTCCAATCTTCATATCCAGAAATTTACTTCAACATTAAATATTCCAACTGTAAATTCAATACTTGCAAAAAACGTGGCTAAATATCATCTCCATTTTATTCCTAACAGGTTTATCTTCAGTGGTAGTTCCTGTATATATTGCCGAAATCGGGCCAAGCAACATCCGGGGAATATTGGTTACTGTCAACCAGCTTTTTATTACTATTGGCATCGTCTTTGCGAATCTGATTGCTGCTTTATTTAGTTATATGGAAAAGGACGGTTGGAGGTAAGTGAAGCATGACAATCAAGAATTCATTAAACTGTAGAAGTACCAACTCAAAAACATATTTCAGAATGAAACCAGTCATGGAACTTTTAGCCAGTTACTGTAGTACGAGGGTCATTCAAAGAGTTCTGAACCACACCCAGCTAAACAAACACAATAGCTAAACATTTTTGTTGTGGCAATACACTTCTTTCTTTTTATGTGCCATGTCCTTTCAGACACAGACGATCATGGCTCTCCACCTCCATCTATCCCTTGCAGCTCTCAACAAGTTCCTTTGCTCTGCTTCCTCCCCAGACCACGTTCTGTCATCCACTTGCTTAAGCCCGCTAGGTATTTGACGCGTTGTTTTCGCTTGTCTCTCTTTCCTTCTATTCGACTCATGAATATCAAATTCTCCAGACCTTCTTCCTCATTATGCGTCACAGAAACTTCAGCTGCCTCTTCCTGATGCTAAGTATAAGCCCCCTCCTTGTTTGCATCCTCTCTAAGACCTCATCGTTGCTCACAAGCACAGTCCATGATATCCTTAGCATCCTTCTGTAGAACCACATCTCTGTTGCCTCGAGTCTCTTCTTCATCTTTGAGGAAATCGTCCAACATTCGCTGTCATAAAGATAAACAGTATTTCTTTTCTTTGTTACCAAAGAAATCTTTGTGTCTCGCAATACTCTGTCCAGCTTTTGGAATGCGTCCTTGGCCATTCCAATACGTCTACAGATCTCAGTGTCGCACTTACCGTCCTATGTCAAAACGCTTCCCAGATATTTAAATTTCCGTTTCTGCTTGATTCTAGTGTTCCTGACCTGCAAATAATACACTACCACTTCTTCTAAAACTAGAAAAACTAATTCAGATTTCTGTCTGCATTTTTGTGCAGGTGAGGCTCATACAAAGGTGAGAGGCGTGTGACAAATATAAAAACGGACAAAACAATGGCCCAAGAAGTCATGAAAAATCTACAAAAGAAAGGTATGGCACCCAGGGAAATCCATGAGGGCATGATACAAGCACTTGCTGAGGACTCCCCTTTCTATGGTTGTAGAGGACCGGGGTAGGGGGGGGGTGAAGATGAAACGAAAACACGTGCATTTATATTTCCTGCTAGAACGTCCAGCTACAATATGAAAATGTCGGACTCGGATTAAGTCCAACTGAAGACAAGGAAGACAAACAAACAAAACCGATATATATTAAAACAAATATGTGTATTAACAACACATTACAAAGTACATAGTTAACACTGTGTTTGTGTGTGAACATTTGTGTGTGTGTGAACGTTAGTATTTGGTGAATATTTGTTATGTTCATAGCGTCTTCCCAGAAATGGGAAATGCTGATCTTCTAAGAGCTTACATCTTGTTGCTGAAATGAAGAAGAAAGAGAGATTTACCTCACCTCCACGCGAGGTGGGATTCGGCACGAGGCCTGAAGGAAAGAAGAGATCGAGGCAAGAGGTCGCCCGGGATTTATATCATGGGGAGAGAGAGACCCCTGGTGAAGAATTTGGGAATTAAGGAGGAGGTAACTCCGACAGGTACTATGAAGAAGTGGACAGCGGAATTAAAGCAGTACAGGTCGTCCAAAAATTTCAGCCACTGATGAACAAGTTGATGCCATTCAGCATATGGTTTTGAATGACAGATGTCTTACTGTCCAGCAGACAGATAACATATATATGCTGTGGGGAAGATTTTGGAGGAGCAGGACGCCACCTACATCTGTGATGGGATTGTAATGCTTAACCGTCGTTGGGCCAAGTGAATTGATATCAAGAGTGACTACATTGAAAAATAATGAAAAATTGTCTTGTTTCTCCAACTCATTCTGGGTGAGACTTAGAAGTTTTTGAACGACCCTCGTATGCAACTTTAATTTAAAAAATAAATAAAACATTGAGTATTTTGGTAATAGGCTTCAATAACTTTAACACAGTGTTTGATTGTTAATCTTTTCATGGTTGAAATCGCCATAGACTTAAGTTGTTAAATCTGAGCAAAAGGAAAAATCATTAGACGCTTAAACTTAATTCACATTTAAAATCAGTCCAAGTTATTGGAACACCTTATATTAATATGTCATTACAAGCTTATTAGGAATAAATGGCATTCATTATGAATTTTTTTCAAGATAACGTTTTCCATTGACATGAAGTCGAAAATTATATTGAATCAATTTCTAGGTCTGCTGCCAGGAAAGTTGGTTTACTGTGTCATGCTCTCACCCAAATCTATCTTATTTATATAAACACCCATGCTTTGAATACTGCTGTCATATATGGTCTGGTGCTCCTGCTATATATTTAGAGATCCTTAATAAAATGCAAAATCTGCAATGTCATTGGTCCTGACCTGGCATATCAGCTTCAGTCACTTTTCCATTGCTATAATGTAGCTTCTCTGTGTGTTTTCTATAAATATTTTCATGGTAATTGTTCTGACAAAATTTCCTCTATGATACCTAAACTTCATGAATTTAAGTACAGTATGAGATTGGTAGACTTAAAACAGGATTTTTCACAATCAAAAGAGTGACAACACCTCAACAATTACAAAAAAGAATGCTCACCAAGGAGAAATTTCAAAAACTTAAATAGTCTAATGGTTAAATCCACTTAGACAGGAAGGGAAATAAGCAACTGCCACTGCTTAAAACACATCTATTAAGCTGAGGAGTAGGGATCTAATTTGTTAGCCAAGGATGGCGTGTTCAATCCTAGGTAAGACCACAAGAATCAGCATAGTTAACAGGCCGCCAGGTCTCATCATTTTACAGCTGAAATAGATAAATGTAAGCATAAATTCTCTGCTAAAATTTTCTTTTCTTGCAATTTTTGCTTATAGAACTCTGTTTCAGCATTTTTATTTCCAGTCCAGTATGATCTTCAAAAATTTAAATGCAATGTCAATCATTATTTTCTGTCTTCTTAATTCCTGTTCTTTTATTGTTCTTGCTCCTTAATAATTTTTTAAACTTTTCTTAGATTCTTTCACATTCAGTAACTCCCTGCATCTTAGTGGCTTTCTTGACTTGCTCAGTATGAAATGATTTAAAAAAAAAAGATGCTAATCTAAACAAAAAGCAGCCATATCCATGACTGACAGCCATTGAAATTTGCAACAAAGATTGTTTCATAGTTACTTTTTTTTTTTTAATCATTTCAACCCAAGCAAGGCAATACAACCACTAAGATGCAAGGGGTTAAAAAAAGAAAAATAATATTAAAGAGAGAGTCCAATTTTGTTGTTCACGCTTTTCCAATATTTACTAGTTCTGGGTATGGCAATAAACTACATATGGCAGTAAGGTTGATTATCGGAAGATTGGAGGCTTCGAGAAGTGTGGAACAACTTCTTAATTACTGTTGTTCTCAGGTCCACCCTGATTCTGGCTGGTAGCACCTGTTAGGGTCTCAGCTATAGGCAAATAGTGAACCTTCCAAAAACAAAACACTATTAAAATATAAAAATGCATATTTATAGTACAAATTACCAATAATACATTTTATCTGTAGTTGAAGGCCTGCAAAAATATTTAGATTTCAGTATTAAATAATCCATAGAGGTTGATATACTGCTAAACAAAATCAACCAAACCAACCAACATTTGCTTCAAGGTTCATATTGCACATTCAGAAATGCCATTCAGTATACCTTTATTAAGGGATTAGTTGTGCTACTGTTGTCTTTCTATCAGCTTGAACCAGTCTGACCATTCTCTTCTGACTTCTATCATTAACCAGGGAATCTGGCCCACAGATTTGTTGTTCACTGGGAATTTTTTTTTTTGCTGACCATTCTCTATAAACTCTGGAGATGGTTGTTTATGAAAATCCGAGCAGATCAACATTGACATTTAAAATCGGTCCAAGTTATTGGAACACCTTATATTAATATGTCATTAAAAGCTTATTAGGAATAAATGGCATTCATTATGAATTTTTTTCAAGATAACGTTTTCCAGTGACATAAAGTCGAAAATTATATTGAATATTCTAGGTCTGCTGCCAGGAAAGTTGGTTTACTGTGTCATGCTCTCACCAAAATCTATCTTATTTATAAAAACACCCATGCTTTGAATATTGGAACCAATAGCTGTGACATATTCAAAGTCATTTGCAATACCTTTCTTTCCTATACTAATGCACAAAGGGCACTTCGACATGGTGTAATGGTTAGCAAGCTTGCCTCACTAGATCAATTACTGAATAGTGAGTTCTGTCCTCAGCATACTAATGCAGTGAATGAATTTCAACAGATTGCTATGAGCATGTTTAAATGCCTAAACCACTTAACTTGTTACCACGTCATTGACTGATTATAAAATTTGCATTTGTTTACGTGTACTTAATTAAGTGGCCAGTGAATGTGCTGTATAAATATATATATATATATATATATATATATATATATATATATATATAAAAACAAAAGGAAAGCTTATCTTAGCCGACATGTTTTGTCCTTTGATGGACAAGATAATTTGGCTAAGATAAGTTTTCCTTTTGTCTTTATTCATATTTACATCTAAATTTTTACACAACACACTCACACGCACATTCACACACACACACACACACACACACACACACACACACGCACGCACACACGCACACACACACACACACATATATATGTCATGTTGGTACATCAGTAAAAAGCTGTTGCCTAATGAATCTGAACATTATATAGTTAAAATTTCTTATCAAGATTAACCCACTATTTACAAACCAGGCTACAAAATTATTGATCCAACTTCATATATATATATATATATATATATATATATATATATATATATATATATATATTATTATTATTATTATTATTATTATTGGTGTATTCCATTTATCTTTCCTCATGGTCTTATACCAGACCTTATTAACTCTCTTGAGCTAAATATGATTCACTATCAATCATTTCGTAACTAATCAATATTAATAACAAACCCACTTAATAATTAATTGTCTGATAACAGTTTCCAGTTAAAGGAAATATTTG